GGGGGTCTCGGGGGCGGTCCCGGTGGGGGCTCCCTGCCGCAGCCGCCCCCCGCGCTCTCCTCCAGCTGGCCGGCCTTGGGGCCCCGGCGGCGCAGTGTCTGGTACATCTACAGGTAACGGAGCGCGCCACCCCCTGACTCCCAGTCCAGTGGCTCCCGGCCCGCTGTGACGACCCTCCCCCGCCGCAAATTCCCCACTCCTGGGGCTACTCCCCCTCCCCCAAGTCGCCCCCACCTCCGTCCCTCGCCCCTAACCTCTGAGTGCTATTAGCTTTCTGGACCCCGTCTTCAACCCATCTCTTCATCTGCCTCCCCGGGCCCCGCTCCCCTCCCCCTCCCCCATCCCTGGCCCTGGTAATCTTTTTTAAGGCCCTTCCAGGACCCCCTCAGGCCCTCCCTCGAGCCACTCCCCCCAAATGGACCCCACTTGGGGGCTCACAACCCACTGGCCCTTTCTGCCTCTCTTAGCGCCCCCACTCTGGCGAGCCCTCCCCCTGGTGAGCCACACTGAGCTCCCCTCAGGCTCCCACAACCTGGCCCTTGCCCCTCGGTGCCCCATATCCCCACACCCCTTAGCTGAGTTGGCAAGTGATCCCATTCATACCCCACTCTCCATTCACAGTCATCGCCCCCCCCTCCATCACACACACCCCGCCCCCAGCCTCCCCTCCCCTCCTCTTTTACCGCTGCGTGTCACTGTACGTGTGTCAGTGTGGCTATGTCGATGTGCGTGTGTATGTGACTGCTTGCAGCCATGTGAGAGTGTGTGTGTATAAGAGAGAGACGTACACACACACACTCACACCCAGAGAGCTGGTGGGCTCCCAGCTCACCCCCTGTACTGTGTCCATCTGTGTATCCCTGTTGGATAGTGTCGTTCTGTGTGTGACTTGGAGTGCTGGCGGGCTGGGCTGTCTGGGGACTCGTGTGAGTGTGTGTGTGTCATGGAGTGGATCTGTCCCAGGGACTGCGGCTGTGTTTCCCAACACCCACCCTCCAGAGCCAGGCTTGTCCCCTCCCCCACATCAACACCATCCCCCCCCCACATACCAGTTCCTCCAGGTCTCTGTCCCCATGTGCCCCTCTCCCTTCCCCCAGGGGATCTATGCCTGTGTGGGCACATGAACTGCTGGCCCTGTCCAGATGCGAGGGGCACGTGTGCGGAGCCATGGCCGCGGTGGGGCTTTGCATGGGTAGCTGCAGCTGCCACTTCTTCTGGAGGGGGCGCAGTCTTCTCGGCATGGGGGCCTGTGCAGAGGGACACCCAGAGAGGGGTTGAGTACCAAAGGAATGCCGTGTGCAGCAGTGGGCTCTGGACCATGGGACCCTAGGGGTGCAGAGGGACTCTGAGTGGGGGTGGGGGGAGTGGATGTTGTTGCAGTCGCCCTGTGTGGGAACAACAACTGGTTGCTGGGTTCTAGGGGTTTGGGGGGCAGCATTGTGTGAACTCCAGCAGGGCAAATCCACAACAGTACTGAGCATGAATGGGGGCCTGGTGAGCAGTGCTGGAGGGGTCGGAGTTGGAAGGAGGTGGGTTGAGGAGGGAACTGAGGAGAAAGCTGGGCCCCGTGCTGGAAAGGAGAGGGGATATTGATGCATGGGGGTGGGGGTGTGGAGGGGAGTGCTCAGAGTATGCCCAGAAGAGAAATGGGGAGGGAGATAATGCAGGGGAGTCGGAAAGGATTTGGAGGTGGGGATTTGGGCTGATGGAGAGAGGACGCTGAGAATGTAAATGAAATGCAGCTGCAAGTAAAAGGAGGAGGAGAATTGAGGATGCAAAAGTGGGAGGCTGTTTCCATGGATGATAGTGGGGGGTGGGCAGGGAGTATGAGTAAAACTGAGGGTCATTGAAGGCTCACCATGGAGTATGGAAGGATGAGGATGATACAGGCCAAATGAGGCCAAGGGAAGGCAGATAGATGGACATTGCAGGACAGGACACACGTGGAGGATGTGGCCAGACTGCAAGGGAACTGTAAGGTCTACATAGATGGTGGGGAGGTGTTCCCATGGGGTGGGAGGAGAGCTTGCAGAAGTGAGGCTCATGGAGCTTCCAGAGGATGTGGGGACTCAGGAATGGAGGTGAACAGAGACGAGTGGGGTACAGGAAGAAGAGATTCAGGAAGCCATAGGGGGCCACACAGTAGTTTGAAGTTTGAGGAGAATGTGACAGGACCAAGGTATTTAGTGAAGGAGCTAAGGGGTGCTGTGATGATGCGGGGGTGTTTGGACACAATTAGGGTGCATGGGCTGCCTATGGTGAGTTTTAATCTTGGCTTTGACACTTTTCTAGCTGTTGTGATCTTGAGCCAATTCGTTCCTTGGGCCTCCATTTGTAAAATGGGCACAGTTGCAGCTGTTTCCTCCCAGGGTTACTGTTGTGAGTGGGAAATTATGAAATAAACGTAAAGTGCTTGGAGAAGTGACTGGCATTCAGTAATAGCTTAATATGTGTTATTAGTTGTTGGTCTGTCATCAGGATAATCTGAATGTCAGGTGAGAGAGGACCGTGCTCATAGTAGATCTGGCCCACATGCATATATACTTGAGGTATAGGGGTGCTTGGATTGAAGGGTATTGCTGAAATTATCCAGGTACAACCTTGAGCAAGTTGAGTACGCTTTCTGTGTGTGGGTGGGTGACACTTCACCTGTCCCTGGGTGGCAAAAACAATTAAGTGTTTGGCTACTCACAGAAAGGTCATCGGTTCAAACCAACTCAGAGGCACCCCGTAAGAAAGACCTATAGATCTACTTCTGGAAATTCAGCCACTGAAAACCCTAGGAAATATCATTTTCCTCTGCCACACCTGGATTGCCAGGAATCAGAATGGAAATCGTAGAGACACCTACCTCAAAGATTGGTTGTTTTTACAAACAAAACATTGAGTATTTAACTGAGAAGAGATTCAGTTATTGTCCAGTACGTAGCAAATGCTGCTTAG